TGAAAAATATGATTAGCTCAATTTAAAAGTGGTAAGGGACTTAAAATAGTCTTGAAAGAAGATGTTCTATATACATATAGCCATGGAAGTGTGAAAGGATGCTCACCATTATTACTGATTAGGGAATACAGGTAAAAACCACAATGAGATACACTTCTCACTGGTGACTATAATCACAAAGATGGACAATAACAAGTGTGGTGAGTTTATAAAGAAATCAGAATCCAAATAACATTGTTAGTGAGAATATAAATGAGACAGGTGCTTTGGAAAGCAATTTGGCTGTTGCTCAAGATGTTAAATATGGAGTTACCATGTTCCAGTAACGCTGACCCTAACCCTTGATACATTATATATGGATGTTCATAAACTGCAACATTCGCAATAGCCAAAAAGTAGAAATAAAAGAGCTGAAAAAATAAATACGGCCCGGGGAGATAGCTCTGGAGAATAAGCATTTGCCTGGCAAGTGCAGGGTCCTGAGTTCAATCCCCAGTACTGCAAAAAATAAATATAATGGCTCAGTGGAATAAGCGCTTCCCTGGCAAGCGCAAGGGCCTGAGTTCAATCCCCGGTTCCGCAAATAAATAAATAAATAAATAAGTACATAAATTAGAAAAAAATAAAAGGGCTGGCCAGATAGCTTAGCAGACTAAAGCACCTGCCTCGGCAGAGCACAGTGGCCAAGGTTCAATCCCCAGCGTGCTGTGCCAGCCCGCCACCGGAGCACACTGTCTTAGCGATTGAGATTGGGCATGGTGGCACATGCCTGTAATCCCAGCACTTGGGAGTCTGAAAACGGAGAATCACTAAGAGTCCAGTCTACATAGTGAGACCCTGTACACCCTGTAGATCCTGTTCTAAATTCATTTTAAAAGGAGAAATAAGACTTATCAACTGTTGAGTGGATAAACAAAATAACTATAGTGTGGCCATATAGTGCAATATTGTTTAGCCATAAAAGGGATGAAATACTGATGCCCACTACCATGTTTTGAGCCTCAAAAACCATGTACTAAGTGAAAGCACAAGAGGCCATGTAGCATTTGTTTCTGTTTACTATATATGAAATATTCAGATCAGGTAAACTCAGAAAGGCAAAAAGTAGATTAGTTCTTGCCCACATCTAAAAAAAGGTAGGAAAGACAGGATAGAAATGTTCTACCGCTAATTGTGGTATTAGTTACACAACCTTATGAATATACTGAAAACCAAACTGTATGCTTTAAGGTGGTTATTTTTATGATACATAAATAATAGTCATCCATGAATATCCCTGGGGAGTTGGTTCCAGCTTCCCTCATGGACATCAAATTACAGAGATTTTCAAACCCCATTCATAGTGTATTTGTATATACACATTTGACATAGTAGTTTCATTGGTGACATCATCCCTATTGTTCAGAAAAATTTCTAGAGCAAGCTTAGTTGAGAAACATTTCTTTAAACTCCTCACTTTTTTTCTGGTGCTGTATTGACCAAAGCAATGATTAATTATGATATGTCTCCTCATATTATTAAAAGGAATATGTTCATTGCTTAGGAAATGTGCTTAATGCTCAGTAAAATGTTGTATTATTTTTAAACATCTTAAGTATCTTTTACAGTATACATGTTTCTGTGTTACAAGCTAATTTTAGATTTCCAAAGCTGAGATCCAGTCCATGATTCAAAGTGTAAGCCTCAAGGTTGTAGCATATTTGTGGCCTATGGGTAGCAGCTTTTAATGGATAAATTCCCCTTACAGGAGAACATCTGCTTTAAAACTGCAGTAGAGAAGCAAACTCATATATTGCTTTTCTTTTGTACAAATTTTCCTTTTCCTTCTTTCTCCTTCCAGAACAGCATTCATCACATTTCTTAAATGCTTTGCAAGAGATTTCAAAGTTCATTGTGACCTCTGTTGTGGGACATCATCCGACACAGATGCTACTCTTAAAGGGTTTTTGGCATGCAGTGGCTTAGTAGCCATGATTCAGTTTGAGTCACCCCTCACAGACCAGATGAAAGCACTTTCTTGCAGGATACAAGCCTTCTTCTTGGGAGTCATTTTCAACTAATTGGACTAGTTCAGAGGCCTCTGGGTTTCACTGGACTCTTCTACATTTCCTTCTTTTGTTGATCTTGGCCCCTTCACCCTCCACCCACTTTATTACTCATTTCTTAGGGGCCTGACTACTCAGTAACACTGAAAAAAAAAAAAAATGCATCTGAAGGCATATGGGTTGAATAAAACAAACTTAAGAGAAAGGGGAAAAAAATCTGTGTTCTCTCAACTTCCTTTGTTTATATTATCTGTTTATATGTCATTAAGGCCATGTTATTCAGCTGGCTCTCCACATTTCAAAATGATTGAAGATTTCTGGGGAATACTCCATGAGGTCATATTGGCATACTGAACAGACACTTCATTCATCCCCCACAAGATAGTCTCCTTTTGAGGTGTTGGAGCAATGCCAATAGCTTCAGATGCTAAATCTTGAGGTTCTTGAAAGACCGGTGGCTTCTGGGTACAGTTTTAGGAAGAAACTACTTAGCTGAGTCTTCTTCAGGTTTTGGCATATCCTATCAGGTTCTTACAGTGGGACAATATGGTATCTAATTCATGATTTTCTTTTGGTAAGATGAACACTGGCACTCTTGTAGGTGATGTTAGTATTATAGACAGTTAAATTAAGCAGAAATATAGGCAATCAGAGTTAGGCCCTCGAGGGAGTCAGTGCAAAAGATGAGAATATGTTGCAGCTGTGGCTGGAGGCACATCTTGAAGGCTAGGCCTCAGGATAAAGATGAAATGACCAGGCCTGCATGACTCCCTAATAAGCATACACCATAATTTGTATCACCTGGTGGAAAAAGGGTTAGTAGTCATCAGTTACTGAGGTGGATGACCAGGACCTTCTGACTTTATCTCTTCTAAAAAAGGTCCATGTGTTTTCCATGTACACTTGCTGTGTGACTTCCTTCAACATTACGTAAGCAGTTATATTTGTAATCTCATTGGTTGGTCATAGTTTGGTCCCACATTGTTCCCACCTCATGATACTGTACTCCCCTTGTGATTTTGTTCTATAAAACTTCCTTTTAGAGGTGGACTATTTGGCAAACCACTCAGGGCCCCTCCTGCCTCTGAGGAGCTAGCTTTCTCAATAAAATTTTCCTACTCTTAGTCTCCATGGTCCCTTAGAATTCTTTCTTTGATTTTAGGGAACACAAACTCAGTGTATCTAACATCTAGCAGATTGAGAGTGGTGATATTTCCCTTACATCATTTGGAGGTCCTATATCATTAGCAGCCCTGAAAACTGAAGTTCTTGTAGAATGTGAATTAAAACTCAAGTAGTCTTGGGTCACAGTCTTTCCAAAAAACATATTCATAGAATGAAATCCTGTAGTGTTCATTAGAGCCATTCCACTACAAAGAACTCCAAGTGCCCTGCATAGAGTCGGCTTCTTAGCTCTGTGGTGGAGTGGAAATTCCTCTCTGCCATCTAGGCTGGTCCCAGTTCCTTTAATAGGGAAGATCAATTCCTACAGAGATGGGTTTTGGTTTTTGTTTTTGTTAAGCTATTTATGAACAGGGGCTGCTAAATAATAAATTTAGACATGAAAATGACTAAGGACAAGGAATAAAGCATCAGTGTTAGCATTTAGGAAATCAGTTACTCATTGAACACGGAGGATGTGATGTGTGTCATTGACTTTTTTTCTCATTTGCCTCTGGTGGGATGAACCCCGGCTCAGCTCTGCTATACTGTAGCTGAAGCTGCTGTGCTTTCTTTAATTGCCATTTCACTAGGTCTCTTTAGCAGCAGCACCTGAAAGAACTGCTGAGGGAGCTCCTGAGTGAATTCTCATAATTTGTTTTTCATTCTCTCAGTTGATTGAGGCCCTTTTTTCTTGAGTGGTTTGCAATTTCACATAAGTGGCTGATGTTTGGGGTCACTATTAAATGTTTTGTGTGACTATCTCTTTTGTGATGAACAGGAAGCTGCTGTTTTTAGATATATGAGGTGAAGCCCTTATTGGTAAGCCTTAAAAGGGAAAAATGTTTCTTTGTAGTGGTATGCTGAATGAAATTAACTCTCTTTGTCAACTTTGTCCTTTTTATCTTTCACTCTGGTAACCTCAAGTTCTGTTGATTTGTTTTCTTCAATTAAGCCTGAGCTATTTCCTGTTCCAGGGTACATGCTATTTCTGCTGTTGGTTATGATAGTGAAGTGAAGCTTACTTCTGACCTGAAAGTGGTTGCCTTGACTCAGAACCACATCAATGTACCTTCCATCCTCCACTTCCTTTTTCCATTATTTCCTTTTGGTAGGCTAAGTTTGTCACCATTTTTAATCTTAGCATGATTTATGTGGCACTAAAGAATTGGTGATGCTGTAATAACAGTGCTTTTTTTATATAATAATACTCAAAGCACTTACTTTCTTAGCCTTCCATGTTTATGAAGCACTTTCAGTCTAATCCCTCTTAATAACACTAGGGTTAAGTCAGCAACATTCTCTGTGTCTAAGATGGTAAAATTGTAACTCAGAGAGGTTAAATGCCTTGCAGAGTTGGCAGTGTGTCTGATTTACTCTGCTTAATGTTACTACAAGAGGTGAAGAAGGGCCCGGGAAATGGCTCAGTAGAATAAGCGCTTGCCTAGCAAGCACAAGGGCCTGAGTTCAAAACCCTGATTCCACAAAAAAAAAAAGAGGTGAAGATTACTTTGGAAGACACTCTGTATGAATCAAATGAATTTTCCCAATTATGTCACAGTTATTAAAATCTAACTTGTTTTGAATCTGGTCAGTTGATAAGACAATAGTAGTTAAAGGCTCGTTGACTATAGTGTTTAAATTGATGAATCCCTGTCTGGAAAATAAATATTTAGGTTAATTTCTATTCTGCTGCTGATGTGATAAAAGTTAAGGAAGACTGGCTCTTAAATTTGTGGAACTTGAACTAGAAGTAATTAAGCCATTAATTTCTTTTTTAATTCTCTCTTTCAGAGAGATGGAAAGCTTGATGACTAGTTCTACCCTGCCGCCCCTTTTTGCAGACGAAGATGGCTCCAAGGAGAGTAATGATCTGGCTACCACTGGGTAAGCAGCTGCTTGGGAACACTGAGCCTCTACACAGACTTCAAAAGAAAGCTTCTGACAACATATGAGGTGCTAAAGAGGCAGTTTTGTATCATAAAAATAGAAGGTACATTTGTTGTGCTTTTGAAAAAGAGCCATTGTAAACTGCTTCAATATCTGCATTCATTACCTAGTCATCATTAAAGTATCTGCCTCAGAGCTAGCTCTCAAAAAGCAATGCATTTTGTATTCAAATGTCCATAGTTATTAAAATATTTTTCCTCAGGGGCTGGTGAGATGGCTCAGTGGTCTAAAGCACCTACTTAGAACAAGCTTAGCAAAGCACAGGGACCGCGGTTCAATCCCCCAGCACCACATGTCAGCCAGCCCCGCCCCCTGGTGGGCTGAGCTGGCCACACACACACACACAAAATAAAATAAATAAACTTTAAATAAATAAATAAAAATAAAATATTTTTCCTCAAAGGTCAGATATTTTAATGTGATTCTTCATTCAGGATGCATAGGTGCTTTAGCCGACTCATTTTGTGCTGCCCCACCCTCATCCTTCTGTGGGATCCCTGAACAAATATGTAAAGGAATATGGAAAAGAGTTAGTAGTCTACCTCTTCCCCTGAAAAATCTTTGTTCCACTTCAATTTTTATTTTTTCTAGATATTTAGGAATTTTTTCCAAAGAAGAAATATATTCAGTAATAGATTAAAACACTAGCTAATTCCTAAGATAAATTATTTTAATATTTTTTAGAGCACTTTAAAAAACTAAGACTATACTCTGGAATTGTAGTTCCTTCTCTCGCATTCATTCCTCACCTTATTAGTATCTACCTTTTGACCTTATATTCTGATGCAATTATTCCCCAAGTCTTTCCTAAAGGCAGCATAGTAACTAAGCCTAGTTCATTCAATAAAAATTTCAGTGTCTATGTGCCGACTGTTCTAGCCATTAGCTCTAAAGCAATGATCAAAACAGATAAAAATCCTAGCCTCTTTAGAGCTCAAATTCTGCAGGAAAGACAAATACTGAACAGGGTAAATAAGTAAAACACATGCTACATTGATAAAAATTCTGGATTACAGAATAAAGTATTAAAGTGGGAACTGAAGGGTTTAGGGGTGCTGTTATAAACAAAGTAGCACAAAAAGCATTTAGTGAGAAAGTGATTCAATGATGCTTTAAAGAAAGTATGGAAACTTCCTTTCTGAAGTTATCTAGTGAAGATTTTTCTAGGCAGGGGAGCAACCAATGAAAACGCCCTGAGGTGAAGCTGTTTCTGCCTTATGGAAATAGCCAGGAGGCAGGAATGATCGTGGCAGCTGCACACCAGGGGTGGAACAGAAGGAGCTGCATAGGTGCTTCTTCAGTATGCGTATAATTTACCTCATGGTCTTATTAAAATGCAGATTCTAAATTAGAAAGTCTGAGTTAGGGGGCAGAGATTCCCTATTATCTGACAAGCTCTCAGGTAAAGCCAGAGCTGCTGATTATTGTGAGTACTAGATTATGTGGGAACTTGGGGGTGTGGGGTAAAATCCTAAGTTACTGTAAGGGAGATGGCAGAGTATTGCAGGATTTCAGAAGAATGATATGGTCTTACTTATTTGATAATATGATCTAGATTGTTGTGTTGAGAACAGAGTGAAGGGAGCAGGGTCTGGAACAAAGAGACCAGTTATAGAGTTGAAGATGAGTCAAACAGGATTTGCCTGAAAGACAAATGAGAAGGGACAAAAAGGCAAACAATATTACCAGCTTTTGGCCTAAGCAACTGAAGGAATGGAATTACCATCGATTCAGTTAGGGAAAACCAAATGGGAAGAAAGTGTAGGAGCTCGGTTTTAAAAATTTAAATTTCAAATGCTGATTAGATATCTAAACAGGGATGCCAAATAGGCAGTTTGATATAAAGCTCTAAAGTTACAGGAGGCTTAGGCTAGAAAGGGAAAGTTGGGTCATCACCATATAGCTAATATTGGAAGTCATGTGACTAAGTGAGAGCACCGAAGAAATGAGTACTGTGCAGCTAGAAAAGATAGCTAAAGCCTGAGCTCTGAGAGACTCCCGCATTTAGAAGTCAAGAAGAAAAAAAAAGCCAAGACTAGAGTCAGTAAAGAGGTAACAAAAAAGCTGACAGAGTACAGGGATCTATGACCCAAATAAGAAGTGTATTTCAAGGGGAGGGAAGAGATTGACTTTGTCTGATACTTCTAATATATTGGACAAATGAAGGCTGGGAAGTGAGTTTGGATTTAGTATTCTTATGGTTGTGCCTAGATGTCCCCCAAAACCTCATGTGGTTATAGGGCTTTTTTGGAGGTAGCTGAATCTAGAGTGCGTGATTAATTGCTGGTGCGCCACATGCTGGGCTTAAATGTGTTAGTGATACACCTGCCGTAGGGCAGGTATCCTGCTTTCAATACAAGGAAAGAAAGTCTTATCTCTTGCTTGTTGCTTTTGCTGTCTTCCTCCACCACTATAAATTGTTGCTGCCCTGCCATATGCCACCCTGCCTCAGAGTCAGTTGATTATAGACTGAAACCTGTACATACTATGAGCTAAGTATCTTTTCTTATTTAACTTTGTGTTTTGGGTATTTTGGATGTCTTTGGGTAGCTCAGCAATGAGAAAAGTAACTAAGTATCAGTGTCACAAATGGCCCAGTCAAGAGTTGTGAGCACTTACATTCTTTGGATTGAATTAAGATGAAAAGAGAAAAACTTAGAATGTATAAACAGTCTTCCCAGGAAATTTTCTTTAAAAGAAGGAGAAAAATTCAGGCTTTACTTGGAAGTAGGAAAAAATATTTTTGATATATTTCATTTGGCTTTTTTAGATAACTCATAATACCACCTTGTATGCTGATTAGGCTAAATTCTAAGAATTTCTGGTGATGCTAAAAAGAATAGAATTGACAAAAACCTGTTCTTGAGTAGACAAGAAGGTGAAGGATTGAGGGTACAAATGGAAAGGTTGCTTGCTTTCGCTTAGGAGCATGGACAGTTTGTTCATGGTAACAGAAACATTGGGTGTTTTGACCATTCTCTCTGATTCCTAGCAACTTTGGTCAGAGATCTGTGGGATTGGTGTGCGTTACAGTTTATATCTAGGTGGCTCCCAAGGGCTTTATGAACTCCCGTGTAGGTTTTTCAAGGGTGACTGGATTATGGGGTTAGAGGGAGGGTCTGGGCTGAAGAAGTAGATAGAGAAACCCTAAAATATACGAGCTAAGCTTGATGAGAGATTGTAGTTGGAGCTCAGAATATCAGAATGATAGAAATGCAGAGAGTAAAGACAAGGCTCCGATTTTAGTTGAGAACAAGGACTCCATCTTTGTGTGATACACTCTAGCAGAAAATCTACCTACATTCTGCTCATGTCCTGGGCAAAGACTATAAGCGATTAGACCTAACAAATCAATTCGTCTGACAGAGGAAATTTTCCATGCAGCCCACGTTGTGGAAACTACTGGGGACTTTTGACTACATTTATATTGAAAATCAGAAGCAAAAAGTCCATTTTAATAAGTTTTTAGGTTGTAGCATAGGTACTCTTGGGGAGTTTTAGCCAGTTCTGTGTCAAAAATCAAGAGCAAATGGCACAGCTAAGTGATTTTTAAAATTTTGAGTTTCACTGGAGAGGAAGGTCAATAAAGTTAGAGCAAAGGAGAGCACATTTGCTTTTTAAAACTTAGCATTTTTGTGCGGGGGAAGTACTTTAAGATCAGGACAGTAGAAAAAATAGCCTGAGGGTATGTAAAAATCTGCAAGGACTAATCCTTCCCAGGCTCAGGAATGCAAAAGTGAAAACTGAGTTGAGAAGAGCACCCCAGGGTACCACACTCTGAAAAAATTCCCCCAGATCTGGTTTATTCAGTCATCCAGACCCTGTGAAACTTCTACAGCCAGTGATGCGAGGTAGCCTGGCTACTACTCCAGCAGGCAGCGAACAGCAGCATCCACTTGGTACTGTTTACACAGGCCTGTAGAAAGCAAGTTGTGGGGTCAGGTAGGCATCCAGCAACATTTCACAAGAAGGCCTGAGAGTCCAGGCAGTATGTTCTTGATAGAGGTCAGTGTTTTAAGCTGTGAGAATGAAACAAGGAAGTGACTGCAGGAAGTTGGAGAGGCCAGGATCATGGAGTTAAGGAAAGCCCCAAGAAGTTAGCAGTGCCAGGCCAAGAGAAAAGCCCAGAGAGCTAAAACCACCCACCAGCCCTGAATGGTGGAGCTGCCCAAGTGCTGTGGAGTACACATTACACCAGTTTACCCCATGTACTAGACACTGAACTACAAGATTTAATGTTTGCCCTGCTAGATTTCAGTCTTGCTTTGGTCCCATTGCTCTCTTTTCTCCATTCCTTTCTTTTAGAATGGAAATGTTTATCTTCTGCCATTGTATCTTGAAAGCATTTAACTTTTTAAAAATGCTTATAGGAGTTTGAGTTGATCTCAGAGAAGATTTTACATAAAGAGATGCACAGGAGACTTCTGGGAGCCAGGGCCAGAATGTTAGTTTATATCCAGTTGTCCCCAAGGGCTTCATGCTCTTCCAGGTGGGATGCTTGAAAGGTGATTTGATCATGGGGTGTTATAGCTGATTTACTGTTCGGAACTGGGCTCTGATAGAGATGGAGGTCACTGGCGGCTTTTCCTGGGGGGTAAATCTGCCTTCCCTACTCCTCCATTCAGCCACTCTCCTGTTTCCTGTTTGCCATGTTGTGAGCAGCACTTCTCTGAACTGGCTGGTCATATATATAAGTACTGAAATCTCCAAAACTGTGAGCCAAAGTGAAGTACTTCTTTTTTAGTTGTAGGTGTTGGGTGTTGGGTCCCAACAATAAAGAAAATAGGACAGTGAGTACTCTTTTCCAAAGCTAGTTTTCATATATTACTATGAAGAATATACAAGAGCTAATAACTTAAAAATTACAATTGAAATGAAATTAACAGTGAAAGACAAATTGCCTAAGAAAATTATTGAAATGTTTGGAAAATAATGCTGCCAAGATCAAATGGATCTCTGGCGGCAGTACATTTCAGACAACATGATTAACATTGTTTGCATAGCTTCTTTACGTTTTTTAAGGACTTCAAAAATGTAGGCATCTCCTGCTTTAAACCATCTATTTGTTTCCTAGGAAAGGTCAAAAAAAGTATCATTTCTTCCATTTTCTGTGCAGTGCATCTGCTCTCATTCCTTTCTCTGTCCACTATAAGCTAATATTTATTTTCCTAATTCTTCTATTTTTTTTTAAATACTATATTTCTTTAAAATGCCAGCAACCTTCAGGTCTTCAAATTTAGCAGAATCTATTTCACCTATCTTATTTGACATCAGCAGCTTTTTACTTGGTTAGAACCTCTTTCTGAAATGTCTTCCTGCCTTGTACCCTGCAACACTGTTCTCCAAATTCTCTTATTTTTCTGTGGTTGCCTTTACACTCTTCTAACACTTGCTCCTAAAATGATATTGGTTCTCATTTCTCTCCCTCCTCTCTCTCCCTCTCTCTCTCCCTCGCTCTCTCTCGCTCTCGCTCTCGCTCTTGCTCACACACACACACACACACACACACACACATACACACACACTCTGTTCTTTGCATGGTTAATGTTAAGTACGTAATCACCAGTTTGGATCCCCAGAATTATCCTTAATTCTTACTTTTCCTTTGCTGTGTATATTCAACCATAAGTTCTCTCCATGCTACCCCTTTTTTACTTTCTACTCTGTTCTGTGATAATCTCTTGCTTAGCCTATTATATTTATCTGATAGGTCTCTCTTCTCTTAGAATGCCTCTCTGCCTAGAATGTTGTTTACCTGACAGATGCTTACTCATCTTCCAAGATGTCTGTGAAACAAGAAGAGATTGTTTTTCTCACATCTTCTCTATACAGACTTCAGTATTTATACTACATTATAATTGTTGCCTATAATGATATGGAATGCTCTTTCAGAGCAGTTACTGAATTTTATTCCATCCCTTTTCTTGCCCACTTTAATGTTCCCAATCCTCCCTCTCAAAAAATAATTCCTTAGCACATGATGTTCCTTTTTCTTCCATTCCTTTATCCATATGTGATAGATTTAAGTCAGTCTGAAACTTTGCCGTCATCTATACCCTCCTTCTTTGTGCTCTTCTCAGATGGATGAGACCCTTTTGCTAAGTCATCTGGAATATGTTAGTGGGGGCAGAAAAATGTATCTATCTGATTTATTAACATTTGTACTGGGGCTAGAGTGTGGCTCAATGGTAGTCTTGCCTGGAGTGCTCAAGGCCCTTTATTTAATTCCCCGCTCTGGGTGGAGGGTAAGAGGCTATCATACATAAACATACATTTATACTTGAACTTCCTAAACTATCTTGTTTTGTTTGTTTATGGCTGACCCTGGGGGCGGGGCTTGTGCAGAATATGGTGCCAGGGATTGTCCCGAACCAGTGGGTCAGTCAACAAAGGTCACCTGGGAGAGGAGCAGGGAATTGAAGAGGGGACAAAGGACAGGAGATGGGAGAAATAGAGACAAGACAGTATTGTGATCTAGTCTCCTTTATTTAGGGGAGGTGCTGGGTATATATAGTGGAGGCATAGGGAAATGACGTCGGCGGGGAAAAGGCGCGAGTAACTAGGCAACCGGGCTATGACAGGAAGTCCCACTCCAGGGCATAGCAGGAGACTTATGGGAAATAGGCGGGGTAAAAGAACTAGGAGCTTAGCTCAGCAGAGGTAGGGGAAGAGGAACCCGGAAACCCACTTGCAATAGGATTGGAGGCCTGGAGTTATTGTGCCTCCCACAAGGGATCGAACCGTGGTCCCTGCATTTACCTAAGCTTGCCTAAGCAGGTGCTTTAGACCATTGAACTATCTCACCGGCCCCTCTTGTTGTATTTTTTAGATGATGTAATTATCAATAAACACTAGAATCCAAAAGGAAATGACCTATGTTAGGAACCATAAGTTATTGCTTATGCCTTTTAAGAACTTCGTTTTCTGTAATAGGGGCAGACTACCTCTGCAGTTCTCATCCACTAGGTGTTTCCTTTTCCCACCAGAGATCCAGAAAAGGTGCTATCTTTTGGATCCACCAAAAGATAAAAAAAGCCACACTCTTGGATGTTCAGAGCTAAAGCATGAAGTCCAAGTTGAAAAGAAAGGTCAGTTTAGGACCTTTAGAGAATTATAGTTTAGAGAATTATAATTGTTTTGGTCAGGCCTCTTCTTCATGGGACTGACCTGGTTTGATCAAATATGGGGACCATTTTTAGTAACATTCTGTACTGCCTGTGAAGACATTTACATTTACACAGATTGTAGTGGAGGGATTCATCTATATACTGATACGTACTTTTGTTGGCAAAGAAATTTATCTTGAACTTTGGTAAGAGAAGATTTTGGTGTTATTAAAAGTGAACTCTTGCACTTCTGGCTTTTCTTACTCAGTTTAACACACCCAGAGGTTCCCTACAATAGTGGAGCCCCATCGTCTACCAACAACACTGAGTTTGTGGAGGATCTCTCCCAAGGCCAGCTGCTTCAGAGTGAATCTTCAAATGCTGCAGATGGCAATGAACAGCGGCATGAAGATGAGGTAAGCTACGGCTCCAAATATCACTGCCCTCTGCAGCTTGCAGAGAAGCTAGTCAATAAAAGAGGTATTGGTTGAGGTGCGCATCACCTGGCCTTCTTCTGTTATAGGCTGACACCTTTGAAGTGTCTTACATTTCTTGGTTTATATAGAACCATATTAATGTTAATAGCACAGAAATAGACAGTTTTTTCCCGCTAAGAAATTATAGGTATGTCATATTAGGTGTTCAACTAGTACTTACTGAATAAGTGAATAACTTAAGTAATGAGTCCACATACTCTTGTTCAGGGCCATGCTGTGGTCATCAAATGTTGCAGCATGGAGCTATGTGTACCCAGAAGATTCACACCACTCACCAACTGCTTCATCTTCCTGTAGCAGTCACCTTTCTCTGAATCACACAAAGGTTCCAAATGGTGTCAGGCAGTCTGCCCTTGGTCCTTAAAAATGATCGATTATATTGTCTACATTTCAAGCACTTTTTTTCAGAAAAAATAAAACCATTGATTGATTGATTGATTGATTGGCCTCACTGTATAGCCAAACTAGTCTCAAACTAGAGATCCTCTTGCTTCAGTATCCCAAGTATTAAGATTATAGGTGTGTGCCTACATGCCTAAATTATTCTGTTGGCATTCTTAAAGATCATAATGAATTTTTAAAATTTCTAGAACATCTCAAAATCCTTAGTAGATTTATTTGTTTTCATGTGTGTAGTTGCTAGAATTGAACCCAGGTTCTTGGGAACGCTATGAACACCTTCTACCACTGAACTACAGACATCTCCAACCCCCTTAGTAAAGCTTTATTGTTACTCATGTTACAAAAACATAAAAAAAGAAAAGAAAAAATGTTAATACCAAATACACCACTTGCCAAGTGGTAAATTATCACACCAGTTTATATACTGTATATTTAGAGGATTGCAGTACTACAGTGAATACTGAAATTTTTTGTGTGTCACTTTTTATTTTTTTCTCTTCTCTAGAACATGAATTCTTGTATCTACAAAATATTAGCTGATGGGCTGTAGTTTTTGTTAAATTAGAAAGTAAAAAATGTGATGTACCCTTTAGTTTCATATGGCCAAGCAGGCCGGTTTAAATATTAGTAATGCTGCATTTTTTTTTTTTTTTTTTTTTTTTTTAAGCTTTTAAAAAACTGATTTAATCTTTGATTTTACTAATATCTCAACTTTATAAATTATACAGCTTAGGGAACAAACCATCAATCCAAAGAAGTGGTCTCATTTTAGATACATTACTGAAATTTACTAAGGCTTAGCTATTAATGTAAAAATCTTTATGTTCTCTGCTATGGGAAATAATCTGGTTTTGAATGGTATTAATGAGAAATACCTTCATGAATTATTTTTAATTCCTGTGCTACAGCTTGTCTCTTCTTTAGCCTAGTGCATGTGACATCTTATTATGATCTACTCTAAGGACATCTGTTTCTCTGGTGCAGAGCTATGTGCACTGCTACATTTCTTAGTTAGAATATTCCCCTTTCGAGAATGAAAACCTGTTAAGTGGACGAGAAGGCCAGAGCTTGCATGATCAGTTAACACAAAAATAGCCCCTATGGCCGCAGTTTGTGGTATGATACCTAAAAGGGTCTCCAAGCAAACCACCCAGAGTCCTTAGCATTGTGCTCATTTGTACCTGTGACACAATTAGAAAGCTTTGACTACACAGGGTCTTAGTCCCAAGAAAACACACTATTGTTCTATTATGTTTTTTCATGTAACTTGTGTTATTTGGGGGCACTGTTGTTGCTTAGTTTTGGTTTTTATTTTGCTTTGTTTTGTAGCAAAGAAGTAAACGAGGAGGTTGGTCCAAAGGGAGAAAGAGAAAGAAACCTCTTCGAGACAGCAATGCCCCCAAATCTCCTCTTACAGGATATGTTCGGTTCATGAATGAGCGCCGAGAACAGCTTCGAGCAAAGAGACCAGAAGTCCCATTCCCAGAAATCACAAGGATGTTAGGCAATGAGTGGAGTAAACTGCCTCCTGAGGAAAAGCAGGTGATTGTTCTTACTGTGGTTTCTGCCTACTTTGATTTTATCTCAAAAACTATTAGCCAGAAAACCAAAAAGGGTAGACTGGGGATTGCGAGCTTTTTAAAGATGAGTGTACAAGCTTCAACCAAAAGCCTGCTTATTGCAAAGTGCCAACACTGTAATAAAACCTAACTAAATACTGAGATTTTAGTTTCAAAAATCCAACTCATATATTAATATCTTTTGTCTCAAAAACAAATAACATGCATGCCATAGTTTTGCCACCACTGGGATAAACAGTAGCTTCTCATTTTCGTCACAGTGGTTAGGAGCCCAATGTAGTAGGATCCTTGTAATTCTTTTCTCTGGCACAGTGATATTTTTAAGCTGGTCCAGTGTTTGCTGCAGAGTATGAGCAGAAGAGACTAGGGTGCTTCTTAACCAAGACAGCTGTACCTCCATTTGATTTATATGTGGAGCATTCACAGCTTATTCTGATAGTTAAAAATTAAGAAGTTATAATTAGTAGCATAATGTGTTCCAGTTAATTAAATAAAGCATTATCAATTAAATAAAATTTATTAAATGTTTAAGTCCATTTGATAAAATTATATAATTCGTACAAGATTTGTTTCAGAAAAAGTTTTTACTACTTTAATAAAATTTTTCAACTAGAATTCTGGCAGAAGTAATAGAATATGAAAAATAAAGCAAAAACTACTTGAATTCTTTCCTGTAAGACAGAAATTTACCCTATTGCCAAACAGAAATGAATTTGTGTTAAGAGAGGTTAGTGGGGAATTCTGAAATGCCACTAAAGCAGAATAATGATAATAATTATAGGACAGGCTTTGGGTTAAAAGTTCCCACCCTTTCCAGCATCTGATGCGTTAACAGTCCTTAAAATGAATTCTAGACAGACTGAAATCAAAATGAAAAAATACTCTCTTGGAAATGGATTGAATTCAGAAAATTTCAAAGTGGTTAAATTAAGTTGCAACTTGAATCTCTTTGGTACCAAGCCAATAGGAAGCAATTTGTGTCATTCATTGTTTGGGCTTTACAAAACAGATCATGGGCTAATCCTACTAGGTTATTTTCTTATTTATCGCAAAATGACTATGTTCATTATTTAGATTTTCAAACAGCACAGAAACATGTAAATATAAAAGCAAAACTGGTCATTTTTTTCTGAGATAACCACTGTTAGTCACATGGGACAAAGGCTTTATGTTTGCTTTTATCAACATTTTTATTTGAAAGTAATTTTTTTTTCTTTTTTTATTTTTAGGAAGGGTCTGTAGGGTATACAGGGTCTCACTGCATATATTGGACTCGTAGTGATCCGCCTGTTTACAGCCTCTCAAGAGCTGGGATTACAGAGGCCCACCACCACACCCACTCTCATCTCAGATCGCCCCAGGGGCGGGGGTTTGAACCTCTAGCCCCTGCACCTGCTTGCAGGCACTTTAATCTGCTGAGCTATTTGGCCAGCCCTTGAAAGTAATTTCAAGTACACAAAAAGTTACTGACATAAAAATAATTAGACATCCAAACACCCATTCTGCAGCTTCACCTGTTACTAATACATCTTGACCCATTTCTCTATTTGCATATCAACTCATGTATACACTCATTTATCTAACCCCACCACCCCACCCAGCTCATGGCTATCATGTCCTTTACATCTACACATGTACAAATTTTTTGTGAATCATTTTAGAGTAAGTTACATACATAATGTCTCTTTGCACTTGAAGAGTTTGATATGTGTTTCCTAAGAATAGAGGTATGCTTTTGCATAACTATAGTAATAAAATACTATAGTCTACATATATTATTTCTTTCTGTCTTCCCTTCAATACAGATTACAGTCTAAGGTCAAGTTTCATTTTTAGCCAAATCTCTTTAGTTTTTTTTTTGTTTTGTTTTGTTTTTTGGTTTAGTTTTGTTTTGTTAACAGAACAGTCCTCATTTTGAACTCTCATGGTATTTCCTAAAGATGGGATAGGAGTTGTGCATCCTTGGTCAGAATACTGCATAGGTGATGGTGTACCTGTCTGGGCATCACATACACAGAAACAGTGTCCTTTTACTCCTCATAAGTAATGTTCAATGACTATAGTAATCAACTTCATAATTTAAATTAACAAAATACTTTTATCATTTTGGTGTTTACATTGTCCCAGACTTGACCAGTTGGGTGTCGCTTAATCTGGTTCTTGACAAGGTTTTTAACATAACTTCTGTATCTGATTTGTCTTCATTTAGAAGCAGTATCTTAATTTGATGAATGAAAAGAATAAAGCATTAAACAAAATAATCCTAGTAAGTCAATGAACTTTTAAAAATAAGAGCAGAAAAGAAAACATGTAGATACAGACTTTCTTAAAGTAGTCCATAGGGATTTAAATTTTAGACGATCCACGGTTGTTAGAAAACAGCAGTTTCATGTATGTCTAAGGTGTTTGATATTCAGACAGGTAGTGATGTTAAGCTCAACTGCCTCTGTTACAGGGTAATAATATCATTAAGCTTCTCTTCTGGATGGTTAACAACTAAAGTGTGCAGACCAAAAATTAGAGAAAAAGAAGGGCTACAAGGATAGCCAATATTTTGGCCCTAGCCCTTCAAGGTCAGTGAGGACTGAGGGCATAAGAGAACCTGTGCTATGACATCCTGAAACTCAATGGTGTCCCAGATTTTCTTATCAAGGAGATTATGGGACCACGGAGGAAAGTAATTGATGATGTAGAGTGTGCCTGAGGAGAGCCACCTAGAGAGAAAAAATTCTGTCAGGCTTTGACAGAGAGCAAATTGGTCAAGCAGTAGCCGTGACTCATCCAGATCGCTGACACTGACAGAAGATCCACAAGGTGCTGTACATGATTCCAGGGTAAATCCTGAGGGGATTTGACTGACCTTATCACATAGCAAAAGTTACATTTTTAGTTATATAGGTCTTGCTTTAACTTTTTATATAGGTCTTACCCATCCAGCAGAAAAGTATAACCACAAGGTATAAAAAGTAATGCCATATTAATATGCTGAGCTGTAAAAGGCTCAAACCAACAACTTCTAATTGCCAGTTCTGCTAATAACCCGCTTTTGTGGACTATTGAACTATATTGGGTTATTTTGCTGAATTCAAGTACCTACAATCTTTAAACTGGCTTCAAGTATGAAAAGGTCCTTTAAAGACTTCTCCAAATACAGCTTCTCTCACTACAGTGGAACACCCATCTCTGACAAAACAAAATGAAAAAGGAGGATATGTTGGAAGCCACTGAAGCTAGGAAATCGATCAAATATGTGTAGGTGGGACTTGGCCCAGTGCCTAAAGCAAACAAGCTACCTCACTCAGGAGATGAACATCCTGTGTGGCTAAGGTTAGCTATCAATTGCTAGTCAACCCAGTGTCCTACATTACTAACTTCACAAAAGTGTAAGTAAAGGACTGTTTTGTCGTGAAAAAAAGATATATATATATATATAGATGTACAGATACTTTCTCTTATTTCATTTAGAATAAAAGTTTGTACTAATATTGTTTAGACAAAATATCATGTCAGCATCTTGTCCTCTGAATACTATGAAGACAATAATATGCATTGTATTAATTATTGTAACCGTCCTACTAACGTATTTTGAAACTTTATTTTATCTTTTTCTTATTAAAATTAATTTTTAAAAAAAGTAGTAGGGGCTGGTGAGATGGCTCAGTGGTCTAAAGCACCTACTTAGAAAAAGCTTAGCAAAGCACAGGGACCGCGGTTCAATCCCCCAGCACCACATGCCAGCCAACCCCGCCCCCTGGTGGACTGAGCTGGCCACACACACACACACACACACACACACACATAAATAAATAAATAAAATTAAAAAAATAAAAATAAAAAAAGTAGTCCATTTTCAGGCTGATAAGGTGATTCCTTTTTGTGTTCTATGCCTCTGTTTGACTGTAGTACTTGGCTTTCTGGCTCCTGAAAGCCCAAATTTATATTGAGATCATCCTTCCATATAAATTGGGGTAGAGAAATCAATTCCTCCCCTCATGCTCCTGTGATACGGAGGCCTTCTTAGGGCCTTGGCGGCTGTGGGACTGGAAGAACAACGCAGTCATCTTTATGGGTTCATTATGAGAATGATCTCAGCAGAACTTGTCTTCCCTGATCTAGAAAAGGCAGTAAATGATCGAGGAAGTGAGAGTTACTAGTGTTAGTCTTTTTTTATAAGTGAGATTTTCTTCTGTTTATATGACTGTTTTTTTTATTTTCCCTTGAAGTATATTCCTTGGGTTATTTTTTCCACATTCTAATCATCCTGTTTTCTTACAGAAAATTAATATTTTAATTTAAAAAGTTATCAGCTCTTGAAAGGAATTCCTTATTGTTTTCCCTAGCGCTATCTGGATGAAGCAGACAGAGATAAGGAACGTTATATGAAGGAACTGGAACAGTATCAGAAGACTGAGGCCTACAAGGTCTTCAGTAGGAAAACCCAGGACCGGCAGAAAGGCAAATCTCATCGGCAAGGTATTAGAACCTAAGCTAAGTATATCTGTGGCTTGTCTTACTGGTGGTGACAGCTATAAAGATGTGTCTCTGTCATTGTTATATTATTCTAAATTCACTTGTAAACGTAATCTTGCAATTTTACTAAACCCAGGTTGCCTTCACTGAGAAATTTCAATGGGTTTCTATATGCAGGACAAATGATTTAGTCAATGTACTAAATTACTGTTAGTTGTTTACCTCTCTTTTCCTAATTCATAGGTATTTCTGTCCTCTAAATGTCTATTAAACTGTGTAACTGACTTGCTCTAACACTTCTAAGTCTTCCATGTACCATTTCTCCCAACCTCCAGTGATCCTCATCATGCATGCATTCAAGAGGTATTTACTGAACCCCTTTAATGAATACCAGGCCTTCTTCTAGGTATTAAAGATACAACTGTGAACAAAATAGACAAATTCCCTATCTTCAGAGGTTTTTAATCCTCTGTTAAATTGTTCATCACCCTTACAAGTTTTGCTTCCAGCTCCCCTTCTTCAGAAAGCACTGCCAGAGGAGCACACCCACAGCTAGTCTGTCGTTCTTAGCCAGTGCATCTTCTCCACTCTTGGGCATCTAGCCTGCCAAAACCATATTGTTGTGCAAACAGCCCTTGATGTGTGTTTCCTCCTCCTTCCCACTCTGTTCTCCTCAAAGGTGAGAACTGTGTCTGCTTTTCTCATGTGCCAAATGGCATTCTCTGTAGGTATGGGTTTCATTTAAGTTTTGTCAACTGACCAATTAAAACCATGGCAGAAAAGCCATAGTTTGTAAGAGCCTGCATGTACCAGCAGGATATATAGTTTGCCATAGTCACATATTTGGGTTTTGCTATTTTTTCTTTTTCAACTTAATATTTTCTGTCTTTCCTATTTTTAGATGCAGCCCGACAGGCAACCCATGATCATGAGGTAATTAGCTATCTGCCTGTTTCATACTTTGGTGTTTGAAATGCTATTGAGTTTTGTGTGACTGCTAATGTTGTTGTTTGTTTTCGTGAGTGGCAGAGTGTTTCCAGTCACATAATTCAGACTACACAAGTTACTTTAGCTTGGGGCAAATATTCAGGTTTGAGTCTGTAAAGTACAGCTCCTAACCTCGATCTGTTCATGCGATCTAAGAATGTTGTTGGCTTTCAGTGGTGATTGTGGCTGGAATTCAGAGTGATGTATAGAAGTGAGAGCTGGCTAAACACTGTAACTTGACCATAGCTGATCATTACCACATACCATAGTCTTACTCTAGAGAGATGTTATTTTGGAAATCCTCCATTTGGTTGAAATGAACCACTTGACTGCAATGTTCACAGGACATAACTAAGTAGTTGCTATCCTTTTGGTTCAGTCCCATTGACAAGATTTAGGCCTGTGATCCTAATAAATGTCTTTTTTTCGTTTTTATTTTTCATTAATATTATTTCTGTGGCAAGCTCAGGGTCCTGAGTTCAATCCACAGTACCACTAAAAAAAAATAATAATAAATATAGATCTTCCTAAACTAGGTAATTTCAGAACAGTTGTAATATAAGAGAACTGATTTGAAAGTCTTTTAATTGTTGTTTTGAACACTATTTAAAACTATCTTTAGTCTGGCATAGTGGCATATGTGTATAATCTGAGCACTGGGAGGCTGAGGCAGGAGGGCGACTTAGCAAAACAGTCTCAAACAGCTTATGCGCTAGTTTTTTTTAATAACTTCTTGTATAATAGTCCAGAAAAACAGGAAAGCATTATGACTGAAAAACAGCCACAGAATGTTCCATGGAGGAATGAGGAAAAGAATTATACATGACCCATTTTATTTTTTGTTGTTGGTGTTATGGGAGCAGGTGAGAGTGTTGGACGTTAATGAATAAGTTAATAAAAGAGTAAATATCTTATAAAACTCCTACAACATGGATTCTGCATACACATAGTTCCCTTATCTTATGAAGAATAAAATGAGAGATGCAGTAGGGTGCCCTGCACACCTCTTAGAATTCTAAGATGTCAGAGATCCTCTCTACCAGCCACTTATTTTGGCTGTGAGGCAAGTGATTTGCCTAAGACAGGAAAGACTGTACCCAGAATCACTCACTGAACCAAGATAGAGGCAGAAGTGTGGCAGAATCCCAGCCTCTGTATCACAATCTAGCACTCTTGGCACTCAGTGCATTGCTATATAGGATAAACTGTACAGTTGTTGAAAAGTGAAAATGGGCCTTGTTGCCTGAGATGTCAGCAAAATGTGTTGTGAGAAAATTACTTGGTTTGTAGTTTGGGAGTATAGCTCAGTGGTAGAGCACTTCTCTAGAATGGGTAAGGCCCTGGGTTCAATTCCTAGCACTATGGCTGCAGGGAGACAAGGATGGAGACAGAGATTATTTTTTGAAAAGAAATCTATTATATTTCTAATGGAACTTGGCTCCTGAGACATTATTACATAGGTAGATACTGGAGAGAGCTTAAATGGTGACCTGAAAGCCATTCTGCATGACAGTGGGCACTTCAACGTGGTACACAATATTAAGAGCATTCCCCAAAGAAAAAGACACTTGAAAGAAGCATGTCACATGCTCTGAAATTCTGGCCCTGAGCGTAGATCACAGAAAAATAGGTTCAGTTCAAAAAGGCCTCTGGCCCCTCACTGTTCTCTCAGTAAACAAAAAACCACTGAAGAGTATTCTTGCTACTCAGATCAGAAGCCAGGCCATGAGGCCTAGGAATCAGCTTGTGTTATTCTCAAGAAAGTGTGTGTACCTCATGCGAAGACGATAGAAACAATAATTTTGTTTCTCCTTTAATTTATGAGAAATGACAAAATGACACTCAGCCTGAACAAATTAGACCCTTTCAATGAGGAGGTAATCAAATCCTTATGATTTTAATCCCTTGAGCGATCCTTGGAGCAGCTTAAGTGTATCTGCACCCCCAGGAGGATCCTCTCCATGCCGTGTAATGTACTCAGTAATGGAAGAGTGCTGATGGTTTTTATTACCACTCTTCCGTTAAGTAGAATTTCTCTGTTGCTTTCAGAGACTGAACAGTTTCATCTAATTGCTTTAATGTTTCTTATTTTGCACTCCAAGAATCTGCACCAAGGGGCAATGTGTCAGTGTGACTGTATGGGGCTATCCTCTGCCCTTAACATAATGGGCAGCTCAGGCAAAGAGGAGAACAGAATAACCAGGCTGAGGAGGCAAGACCTTGGAACAGGCTGTTTGTACCACAGTAATAGGAGGCAAGCATGCATGCACACACACACACACAAACACAAACACACACACCCTTCCTTCTGACTGGTAGATACTAAGACCAATAGCCAAGTAACTGGTCTCATGTATGCCTGTGGAATAAAGAAAGAAACTAGACAAGGTAAGATGATTAAAATCCTAAGACTTTATTCTCAATCATTTGTGTACATATTTTTCAATCTAGTATGCCTTGTGCATGTTATGGTTGTATATCATGAGTTTCCTGTTTTCCCACAAAAACCCAGTGCCGAAGTTAAAGCATATGGTGAGCCAGGAGAGTTGAAATGTGTTTAGGATCCCTTCTGGAACCAGCCTTTCTTGCCCACACATTAGTTCTCATTGAAATCTGCTAGGAACTGGCACAAAGTAGAGTTTTGCATGTTGAAACATGGTGCTTTCAATGATAATTTGATTGTTGATTTTTAAATTGTTCTGGGAAACTTTGTTTTCTTCCAGTAGGAGGGAAAAAAAGCAAAATTTAAGTACTCAGAAATGGTTCCTTGAGTAAATACAGTGTTACAGATATCCATCTTAAGGGTCTTTGTCTGTCTTTCCTCCTGCCACGGGCAGTCCATTCCCACCTCTCTTCCCCGTTGTAAGGCAAACACAGATCTGAGGCAGGAGCACGACTGTCAGAGTGTTCCCCTAGGCTGCTGACTGGTGGGCTCTGCTGGGCACCAGAGCATTCTTGCCTTCAAAGGCAGAAGTAGTAGTAATGAGTAGAAAAGGTAACAGTCTATCTCTAACTTTAAGCATGTTTTTATAAGAATAAATTCTAGGTAGTTTTGTACTGTTTTTCATGTTATAAACGTTTTAGAATCTTCAGAGTTCACTAGCAATTTCTTCAGTACTGATTTCCTGCTGTTCTCTTTACCATCATACATTATGCAAGATTTTGAACACCACACCAAGACACTTATAATTATATTCATTATACTTTCAACTTAAATTTCATTGTAGAAATGGCAGCCAAAGCATCTTGAAATACTGATTTCATTCTTAAGGATCATTGTTGAATCTATTTTGCAGTGGTTTTGTGAGACTTTATTTTATTGGCTTATGGGTGAGTTAATTTCAGGCTTTTTTATTCCTTTTCTAGCTCACATAATTCTTAGCTTTCTCACTTGTAGAGCCTGGTTATTTCTGACTTCCTGGTTTTGTTTGTTCTTCCTGGAGAAAATCTAAAAGAGCCCCAAAGATAGACAGTTCCCTCTATGTAGATGGTTCTATTCTGATAATAGCAGTACCAGTAGAATATCAGTATTATTGTTCATGTCTGGCAGAGCTCTGCTTATAATTTTTACTGTCCACTCTGCATAGTGTCTCAGAGGGCATTTTACTTGCATGACCAGTTTCTCAATTCTTGCCTCAAGCCTCTTTCACAGATGTAGACTGTTGAGTATTCAAAGCATAGAACCAAGAAATGGTGTCCAGATTCTCCAATAGAAGGGAATACATGCAGATTTTTTAAAGGTTTCTCATTGTACAATAGTTATACCCCTGAGAAAACTGACTATGTAATTACTTGAGCTCTGTGAAACTCCAATTCCAGTGAAAAGGGGAGTATAGTCACCTTTTACCTAAACTGAATCCTGCTCACCCTATTTCTTTTTTTCTTCTCCTCCTCCTCCTCCTCCTCCTCC